CTGTGCTAGTTGTCTCCATAACTATTTGTGAAAGTAAAAGCTACTGTCAGTGCCTGCACCAAGCGGTCTATCATACTCAGATGCCTCTTTCAAGCTCTCAGTATACATTATTTAAAACATGGACATTTACCTTAAACATCTGATTCTTTTCTTTTTAATACTGCTGCACCGTCACCGATGTCAGTGGAATGGTTTCTGACTGTGTACACATAAAGGGGAAGGAGAATTGGGACCCGAGGCTACAATCGATGAGCAGATCGAATGCACCTTCAGTAAGTTTGCAGATGACACTAAGCTAGCGGGTGTGTTGATCTGCTTGAGGGTAGGATGGCCCTGCAGAGGGATCTGGACAGGCTGGACCGATGGACCAAGGCCAACGGTATGAGGTTCAACAAGGCCAAGTGCCGGGTCCTGCACTTGGGTCCCAACAACCCCATGCGGCGCTACAGGCTTGGGGAAGAGTGGCTCGAAAGCTGCCTGGCAGAAAAGGACCTGGGGGTGATGGTGGACAGACAGCTGAATAGGAGCCGTCAGTGTGCCCAGGTGGCCAAGAAGGCCAGAAGTGATCATCCCCCTGTACTCGGCACTGGTGAGGCCTCACCTCGAGTACTGTGTTCAGTTTTGGGTCCCTCAGTACAAAAAGGTCACAGAGGTGCTAGAGCGTGTCCAGAGAAGGGCTACAAAGCTGGTGAGGGGTCTGGAGGACAAGCCCTATGAGGAACGACTGAGGGAACTGGGGGTTTAGCCTGGAGAAAAGGAGGTCGAGATGAGACCTTATCAGCCTCTACAACTACCTGAAAGGGGGTTGTAGAGAGGTAGGGGCTGACGTCTTCTCCCTGGTGAAAAGCGATAGGACGAGAGGAAATGGATTCAAGTTATGTCAGGGGAGGTTTAGACTGGATATTAGGAAACATTTTTTTCACTGAAAGGGTTATTAGACATTGGAAGAGGCTGCCCAGGGAGGTGGCGGATTCTCCATCCCGGGGTGTGTTTAAAAAAAGGGTAGATGTGGTGCTTAGGGACATGGTTTAGAAGTGGTTTTGTCAGGGTAGGTTGATGGTTGGACTTGATGATCTTAAAGGTCCCTTCCAACCTTAGCGATTCTATGATTCTAATTGGTTTGTTGAGAAGAGCCAAGGGTAGGAGTCACCTGAGGAAATGCCGCTCAGTTCTTGAGGTATGTGAGGCTCAGGCTCCATTTTGGGATGAAGCAGAAGGGACAACTCTCAGAACTGAAAGCGCACAAAGTAGTTGAGATTTCAGCAGAGCTTGAGAGGTATCTCCCAATACTGCACCTCTAAATGGAAGAAATCTTGTAACGAGCCTTCTCTCTGGGAGATTTCCACTATTCTGAGTAAGAAGTAGGGGATTCTTCAGGCCAAGAAGCAAAACTGCAGAGATACAAGGCTTTGAAAGTTGCTGGGTTTCTCAACTTTCTGATGAAACACGTGCTGTCTGCTGTTGGGTCTCTACCATACCTACTGCTGCGACCAGGCTTTAGCCTTCCTGCCTCTGGAGGAATTACATCCAAAGATGAAGAACCAGAAGAAATTTTTTAAAATTCAGTCTCTTCATTCTCCTGGGTTATGATTCTAAGGGCTACTTCATAGAACAGGTGAAAATTCCCCACGAAAAAAATGGGAAGAGGTTTCATTTCTTGACGCCCTTACCTAGTGGGTTCTTTGGGGATTTCCATTTAAAAAGAAATCACAATTAAGTCTTCCCCTCAGAAAACTATACTTCCCTAAATATTTCATCAAACGTCAACAAAGCAGATCTGGTATGGGGAAAAGAAAGAGAAAAAAAAAAAGATCCACCACTATTTGGCAGTACAATGCTAGGAAGCTTCCGGTTTTTTGTACTTCATTGAATGGCCAGCTATATATGGATCTCAGGGGCTGGGCAGCAACCTCTGTATCATCATTACAATACTGGGGAAAACCTCTTCAGATACTATCTGAAAAGTAGGACAGGGTGAGAACGGCTTTTTACAAAGCCGAGCAGTAAAACTTGCTGTTTAAAAGATGCATATGGTAAAACTGAGAGATGGACATCACTTTTGAGATGGCACAGAGCCATCACCTCACCTCTAAGGAGACGGCGCATTGATCTTTGTGTCACTTGTGAAGCTGAGATTGCACTAAGTCCTCATGAGAAGGACAAGAAGCAGCTGGCAAGGTGCTCAAAAGAATAAGCTGGGATGGGTTGCAACTCAGATTTTAACTGGAAGCTAGGATCCCCATAAAATCTGAACTATATATGTCAAGGCAAATTCGGCTTTCAGTTTACATCTTGGTGCATAAAGTCTGTGGAGGCTAACGAGCTGAACCAAAGTAACAGGGAGAAGAACTTGTTCCCACTTCTTCAAACCCTTTAGGAGGAGTCAGCTCTCAGAAAGGGACAAACAGCTCTCTGTGGGGCAGATTACACAGATCATTGCTTATGTGTCAACTCAGAAAAGAAATATTAGGAACAGGCCAGCAAACCCAAAGCTGCTTGTCCCCAGTAGAGCTGGGAAGGGAAATTCTTGAATGGCAGGGGAATTACAGCTCAGCTGCTGTTTTTGAAGGGCACTAGAAGGGCACCAGCTCTGCTCTGCTTCGTGCAGACTCAAAGAGCTGGAAGCTGTCAGGAGGATTCACCTCCCTGCCTGTGATGTTCCGTGGGGAGCTGAAACATCCTTTTAGAAAGCACAGAAGAACTAAAGAGGGACTTTCTGAAATTAAAGAATAGATGCCTGGAAAAATCCTGCCAGTCTACAGAGGTCCTCAGGCGATGCAGCTGGCATGCTGTACACGCTCTCAGGGTGTATAACACTGAACTTTTGGCAGACAACGTCTCTGGTCTGCACTTACTCACCATGGGTGCTCGAGGTCTCCTACCCTGACACTTACAGAATACCAGGGAAGACTGAAGGGCACTTCATTAAGCTAAAGCAATCCAGATGTACCAGGGTACTTAGCAAGGAAACTCAGATTCTACTTTTAATTCTTTTAAATGATCAAACAACATACAATTTTATTTCCTATAAAAGTTTAGAAAGCGATTGGAGTAACGCAGAGACAATAACTCAAAGTTAATGTATTACATTACTTCAAGGCACAGAAGGTTTACCATCTTCCCTTGTTCCAGATACAGTCCTTCGGTTTTACTAATGGGAATTAATTCAATTTCTTCTAAACCCGAAAGTCTGGCTACCTACCCTAAGTGAAAAAGAAAGCAAAAGCATGACTCTTTCCGTGCCCAGTGTATTCCAGTCAAAACGGTGTGGGATGGAGAACTGAGGGGCTTTCTACAACTCAACACTGACAGAACTCAAGCAAAAATAACGTGAATATCCACCATAGGAATGCACCAGCCTCACAGCTGCTGGCATCACTGCACATCTGATGGCAGTTCTCCTGCTTTCTGAATGAGAGCTAATTTTTAATTACCATCTTCCACTTACTTTGCAGCTTGTATGAAAGTGGTGGAAACTGACCTTATTCTTGCTTCTACCAGAAAGCTGAACACATCCTTTGCATTAAGTTAGTGATAAATTAAAAACAGCAAGGAAGTAGTCCGAAAAACATGGCACAAAAGTCTTTCTAGCTAGGCTAGCTCACACCGACATTTTTGTACTACATTTTACTTTGCCTGTCCTCAAAGAAATCAGGTTTTATGGCACAGGACACAAGTCAAGAAGTAACATTTCTATAAATGAAATTTTTAGGATGGCAGGATTCCATTCTTTAAGTTTAACCAAAGGAAAACTTGAATCATCAAAAACCAATTCTCCACCATGCAAAACCTAAGCCCCAGGTCAGCTTCAAATAACTAAACAAAGAAAAAAGTTTCCCCACCCTGCGGCTACCCCTTGCCCTTGTCTTCTTAATCTGAACACCTGAAGTTGCGGCAAAAGGTTTGCTATTCCTGCCCTTGTGCAGGAGCACTGAAGATGTGTGGCATCTCTGCAATTGCGTGCTCCGGGTGCACACAGGTGAGAGAAAGCTTTCCCGGGGACAATGCGGCCACCACGCAGGCAGCTGCGACAGCCCGGGGGCTGTGCTTGAGATTAGAGCACATTAAGAAGTCTGTTTACGATGCAGGGGTATGCAAAGAAACATGAGAAGGAAAAAATTCATTTGAGCAACTGTCAAGGGGGAAGAAATAAAGCCACAACATCCATCAGCAGAAACAGAAGTGTTTTAGCAGAAGGTAAAACGTATACCCCGGGGAGCTGGCTTTGGGGCAGAGCTCAGAGACAGAGGATTTGGATGTGTTCATATAAATAAGTCGTGTGAAGTTGTTTGGATGAACTCTTTCAAGTGCATCTTTCTGTGGCTATCCTAAAATTCCTGATTCTACAAACATTTCTTGGAAAGTGGAAATCGTATGCATTACACATCCATTTGTACCAGGGGCTGCATCCAGCGTGGCTGACTGCGAACTGGATTAATTTTTGCTTGCTCACGGCAGAGCTGGCTGTCCGATCAGCGACAGCACCGATACCATCAGCCCCACGACTCAGCTGTGTCCCACAAACAGTGAGGCGCTGAAAACGGTCAGCTTAGGAGTAACCGGTTGTTCAGTATGACTGAATGAGGTGCATGAAAAGGGAATGTAGCAGATGTCCGATGCCTGGCGGGCCCCAAATTCAGTGGCAGAAATAGAGACAGAATCAGTGAGCTAACAAGGCTTAGTCTGTCAGTGCCTTGGGCTTTGCTCAAGACTTCCACCTGGTGAAAGACAGCTCCTCTCGCTTGATCAAAGCGGTGGCCTGCGCATCTGGAGGTGCTTTGTTTTCCTGTTGCGAGTCTGTAAATGACAACACAAGTTGCAGAACCACAGGGGAGCTGAGGTAAAGCAGCTGCAGGAAATATTAACCGAACTACACCGTAAAAGTAAGATCTGTTGCTGGTCACAAGAGGTACATGCTCATTGCAGGTGAAGTTACATAAATACTGGAGATCACAAGAGGATTCAGTACAGAGCAAGGCTAAAAAATGTAAAGAACTTACTTGATTTTTCTTCTTTAATGTTGTACTCCAGCACACTGGGAGCCTCATTCTGCGCTGGCAGGCGGACTGCAAGGACCATGTTGTTCACGTTACCCTCTCTCCTAACCAAGAATATCTGAAAAAAGAGAAAGGAATCAAGAGCTTAGCTACCTTATGTGAGCTTCTGCATTTTATTTTAGCTCACTGGCGATGAAGTTGTTTTATCAGCACAATCCACCTTTAAATGATCTTATTTTAGCTTCGTTCCACTTGGTTGAACTTTACACGACAAAAATAATGAATAAAGGGACATTTCATCTGGGTGAAATTCAGATCTTTGAAGGAACCAGCAAAATTTCTATCCATCTCTGATGTCCCACTTAAGCCTAAAAGGCAAACTATTTCACTAACTGAAGAGTACAAAGTTACACTTACAATTTGTAAAGTCATGCCCCTCACATAAGTGCCCTAAATCATGGACAGTTTACCATAGAATGTCCTGGTCCAGGTCTAAAGCAAGGGAGTCACTTGTACATTGAGAGGGAAAGGATTCAGTGTCCATTAGTAGAAGATAAGGCCAAAGGCTCTGGTGACCACAGTGTCTCATGGCAGAGTATTTTCATGGGACCAGAAGAAGATTCAGACTGGCAGGGACCCCAGAAGGGCTCTTGTCCAACCCCCTGGATGAAACCATGAGGCCAGAACAAGTTGCTCAGGGCTTTCTCCAGACAGGTTTGGAGAACCTCCAAGGATGGAGGCTGCACAGCCTCTCCAGGCAACCTGTCCCACCACTTACTGTCCTCACAGGAAGAAAGTGTTTCTCTGTACCCAGTCTGAACCCCTCCAGTGTTGATGTAGGACTGTTGCTTCTTGTCCTCCCACCATGCAGTGCTGAGTAGAGCCTGGCTCTGTCTTCTCCATGACCTCCTTGTAGGTACCAGGGGGCTGCTGTGCAGTCCCCCCAAAGTTGTCTCTCCTCCTGGTTGAACAAACCCTGGTCCTACAGCCTCTCCTCAGTAGGTCCGTGCCCAGATGGCTGCCACCAGGCCCGCAGGGCCTTTCCCGCAGAGTTGCCCAGCCAGGCAGTGCCAGCCCAGATCCCTTCCGGGGGCTCCGCCTTCCCAAGGGCAGCACTTTGCACTTGTCCTTGTTAAATTTTGGAAGGTTCCTCCCAGCTCTGTCCCCCCAGCTTGTCTAAGATCCCTCTGGATGGCAGCACTGACTTCAAGTGTATTGACTGGTCCCGAAATTACAGAGTAGATGTGGTTGGAAGGAACTCTGAAGATCATCTAGTCCACCCCCCCATGCTCAAAGACAGATTGACTACAGCAAGTCAGTCAGGATTGTGTATTGTCCAGTTTTTATTACGTCAAGGATGGAGGCTCTACAGCCTCTTGGGCAACTTGTTCTAATGTTCAATCATCTTGACAGCGAAAAAACTTTTCTTAATGTTTAAACAGACTTTCCTGTGTTTCAATTTATGCCCGCTGCACCTCGTCTTTTCACTGGATATCACTGAGAATAGTCTGGGTCGATCTTAGGGGAATGTTTTTTTTGGCAGTGTTAGGTTGATGGTTGGACTCGATGATCTTAAAGGTCCCTGCCAAGACAGACAATTCTATGATTTTATGATTCTGTGGTTCTATGATTCCGTAGTCCCTCCCATCAGATATTCATACACACTGATAAGAGGCCCCTGAGTCTTTAATTGGAACCAGTGGAATCACGGTAGCCATTGGTTCCCACCCATAGGACCAGTGAAATTAAAAAAAAAAAAAAAGAACAAGGAAAGGGAAAAGAAGAGCGAGGAAAGGAAAAAGAAAATAGAAAGAAAAAAGAAACAAACAAACAAGACAGAATACAAAAGAAAAAGATAAAAGAAAAAAGAAAAAAAGGAAAAAAGGAAAAGATAACACTATCTCATTCTTTGTATTGTATGACCTCCTAAGTCTGTTTCTAATTAAAGCTCATTGTCAAGGATATTTTCAGCTTGTACCTTGAAGTTGCAGATACAAAGACAAAGTAATCTTCACCTTTAATTGTTCTTTGACAGCAGGTTTTGGCAGGAGAAAGTCAAGGTATTTTTACAAAAACTGAATTAAAAAATTGGGCTAATTCTGGAGTCTGGATATTAATATTAGAAAGAAGTGTGAGTTGATAAAATTATTAATCAACTATAATGCAGTAGAAATCTATCAAGAAAACATTAATTTCTTGGACAGAAGAATTAAAAGAAAAGCTTGTCTAGAAGCCAGGACCCTTCTCTGCATGAGTCCCCATCATAAGGGCATCTCCTGTTGCTTTGAAGCACCCATGCTAAACACGTAGCTTTGGGGCAGCTTTGCAACCTCACACAGTGCCATCGTCTCGGCCTCTGCCATTCATAAGAAATTGAGCCCCGCGGGCTCAGGCCCACCAGCAGTGCAAAGAAAATCCAAATCAATGCATGGCAAACAGCTGCATGCCTGAAACAGGCCTATGTTTAATGCAGGGCAGCCCCCACCTTCTACATCACAGAAAGTGTCTGCAGGTAGGGAAAAGCCATAGAGGCTCTCCCTTCCCCAGGTCCTACCACTCACGTGACAGCATGGTCCCTCTAACCCACCTCGAGAGACTACTGTGACCTTGGCCCTCAGATGGCACTGTCTCACATTGCATCAGCCAAGTGCTTCATCTGAAATTAAATTTAAGCATTGAGAGAAGTGAAACCTGGAAAGGAATTGCTTCTGTTTTCCTGATTGGCACGACTGGTTGCCATGGCTCCAAAGGATAAAATTGGACCATGGCTGCTCAGACGAGAGGGAGGTGGGTTTTCTGAGCCGCACCTAACCCTACTGCCTGGGTCACGACTGGTACGCAAACCAGTCTCTTGCATTTTCACTGGTGGTGAGAAAGATGCAGTGCTGATGGGCTCAGGTGGGCTCAGAGTGGGCGAGAGAGCCTGCCCTTGCTGTGGGACACCTCTGATGTGTCAGATCTTCTCCTGCCTGCTTCAAGCCATGGCTGAAGACCCTGCCTGAGGATGGTGTGAGCAGGAGGAACAGAGGCAAGATTTACCCCCAAAGCCGCTCAGAGGTGGGAAATGGCCACGCCTGCAGGGAGTGGTGAATGACTGAGGGAGCTCAGGGCCATCCATGGCTACATCAGAGACAGTCACTCGGGTTTCCCTTTACAGTCAGTGCAGAAAAACAAAGAGAATAATTTGCCCAATGTCTGGTTCAGTGTGAGGCACAGCCCAGGTTGGTTGGGTGAGTCCCACTGGAGGTTGTCACTTGGCTGTGCCAGCTTCTAGCCTGGGATAGATGGACTCGGCCAAGGGACAGGTCCAGACCTCCACAGAGGAGGAGTGAGTGAATTTTGTTTGTGCCCTGGCATCATTTGCACCTGCCCTCCCCAAACCCGGCCAGGACACCTACTCCCTGCCATGCCTCACCTCTGAGACCCAGTAATGAGGACCTCCCTTTCCTACAGAGTTGCTTTCCTTAAGCACACTGAGCTTTGCACGAGTCTGCCATTCTCTAACACTCAGCTTCTGGGGACCAGATACCAATTATTGTAATAAAAAAACCTACTCACAGCAGCTCCCAGAATTTAAGGGCCTTTTCTGCAGGGATTTTTTTTTATTGCTCTGAATTAGGATAGTCAACATACCTATGGGAAGGCATCTCCATGAATCTACACACTAAGTAAATAAAATCAGAGACAAATGTCTTGCTTCCCCAAAGCAAATATATCTATATTGCGCCGCTGCGAGTGTCTAAAGCATCAAAAGCTAATGGAAACAGAGAGCATAGTTTGCTAAATATTTTTGCTTCCACATGAAAAACAGTGCTGCTCTCCTTACCAGCTCCACCAAGGTCAGGAAATGTGGTTGTCTGAACTGAAACCACTTTGGACTTACCCCTGCTGTTTCTTTGCCAAGTATCGCCCCAGCCCTTTCCTGGTTCATGTTCAGCTGAAGCCAGACGGGACAGGTCTTGATGAGTTTATCAAGGATGCTGATCCCTGGAAGCGGGAGGCAGTTTCGCAGGGCAGTGGCTTGACAGAGATGTGTCTCTTTTCCTTCTTCACCGGTGTCTCTGATTGGGCTGAAACACAGCAAAAGAGTCCCTTGAAAGCGGAACTGCAAATGGAAAATTTAGGGGGAGCAAGGACTGTGAATGCAAATGCAGAGGCACACGCAGAGGCATGGACATACCAGGAGAGCTCCTCGAGGGGCAGCGAACGCCTTGCTATGATAGAGGCAAACGGGGTGCACAGGCCTGGACGGACAGGTACTCCCCATCCTAGGGACTATGGCCTCACACTAATGATGCACACCGGGGTTTCAGACCACAGGCTTGCAGGGTGCTCTATGCGGAGGTCTGTTGGTTTCAGCTCGTCTATCTACGTTGCCTAAGCACAGGTACCCAGAGACAGAGGTATGGGATGCACAGAGGCACCTAACACTGCAGGAGGTAGAGCATGCCTGTCCCCTGGGCCCCTGTCCTCCAGCTGAAGGGTCAGAGCCGTGTTTCATGGCTTCAAAGGGAGTGTTGCAGAAGAGAAAAGGGGCCACAGACCTCTCCAGCACCTCACCCTGTTGTGGCCATGCCCCTGTTAGCACTTCTCTGATCATACAAGAGCTGTGATGGGCACCGATGTGGCAAGTGCAGGGTCCTGTTCCTCAGGAGGAATAACCCCATGCACCGGTAGAGTTAGGGGCTGACCTGCTGGAGAGCAGCTCTGCAGAGAGGGACCTGGGAGTCCTGGTGGTGTCCTGGTTTGAGGTAAAACAGAACCAATTTTCTGTTCAGTAACTTTACTTTTCAGTTAAGCCTCTTCTAACTCCTGAAATTAACAGTGTATTGTGCAGACACTGGTCGCTCTCAGAGTGGTAAGACCTGATGTTTATAGCTGACGCCAAGGGATGGTATGCGGAGAGGCTCGGGGTTAGACTCATTGCTCTAATACCCAAGGGCAGCCAACTTTGTTATTTGTCCCGTTGGAGGGTCAGAAGCGGAAAAGCGTAGAGGCATTGCACCTGTGGGGAGGAGCGGACAGGACAGGTGACCCAAAACTGACCAACGAGGTATTCCATCCCATCTGCTTCATGCTCAGTATAAAAGCTGAGGGATCAAAGGGTCAGCCCTCTTTTT